ATCGATAAAGACGACCTGACCCTTCAACATAATTAATTCGTGTTTATTTCTTCCATAGTTTAGACGAACTTAAACTCACTGTTAGCAAATAATCTTAGTTAACTTAATGACGAACCATTTAAGCTAACAGCGTTCCGATCTAAAAACGAACGGCATATCAATGGTAGACTTGGTCTATTAGTGAATGGTTGCGTGGCAACGCTGGCACTCAAGTGCTTCATTGAAACCGATGGTTTGGTCAGTAGGCTTACTTCTTTGCAATAGCCCGCCCTATTGTCACTATGCAACGACCTGATATTGTTTGTCTGTAGAGATATTTCTGTTGTATTTCAACTTTTGACTCTTTGACATAGTCGGCATATCAAGGGTAGACTTTGGATCTATCAGTGAATGGTTGTGTGGCAACGTTGGCACTCAAGTGCTTCATTGAAAAAAATGGTTTGGTCAGTAGGCTTACTTCTTTGCAATGGCTCGTCCCATTGCTACCACGCAATGACACTTCAGTTTTGTCTTCAGCATCCAGCTGAGCGTAGTCATTCATTAAACATTACTAGAATAAAAAATCTTGATTTTCAAATCCCATATTGAATTTTTAATCAAATGCATGTATATGAGCGAACTTTATTAATTTTTAGAGGAAGTGAAAAATGCTAGAGAAACATATGATGCTATCTAAGAGGGATGGAGTATGCGGATCCTAGGCTATTTAATGCGAGTTCCAGCATTAAGTTATTTCTTTGCTCTCAGAATAATTTCTACAGATAATTTATTTCTACATCTATTACTAACTACAAGAACCCCCATAATCTTTCTCTACACTTAGAATTCTGAAATAAATTACACCACTTATATCTACAGAATTTTCGTTTACCTATATCACAAACTATATAATAGATTATTTTCCACAATAGAATTTCCCGCAATGAATGATTTCGAATCTATAGGAAGAATTCTTGAGATTAGCAATGAAATAAAAAAATAAACAAGGTGAGGGCTTCCGATTCATACTTACCACTTTAATTCATTTTAATAATATTCCACATTGCCTCATAATATTTCAATAATTTTATCGTCAGTTCAATACTGCGCTGAACATCAAGAATGATTATAATTTTATTGCTGAAAAATTTATTCAATATACTGCGCATTATATTTTGGCATATGAAGAAAATCTGGTGACAGAAAAGTAGTACTGCATTGATTAGACACGTGATGATGATCACGATTTCTCAGTGAGTGTGCAGAAAGAATCAAGAAAGGTAATATATTCTCTTTATCTTTAAGCATCTATAGAGTCAGGAAAAATGATTAGTATCATGATGGCAATTTTCTAGAATTAAGCCAAGAAATTAAACAAACTAATTTCGCTATTACTTTGCAGAATATACTCAATTGATTGATTGTTGATATTGTTGATGTTAATAGTGATAAGTTTGATATTTGTTTTGATTCTTTTTTTGCTAACTTGCACAAGGTGGATAAAAGGATTCACTAAATAAAGCCTCACCTTTTTATAAGATTTGTAATGCATTTAAGGATCGATTTTTGTAATCTTTTAATGTACAGTTATATTTCAATATAATGAAGTTGGTGTTTGAATTTTAATATAAAAAATTAATAAAATTAATTTTTTTATTAATAAATATCACATTTGACTTTCAGAATAACATTTTGTTATTAAAAATTAATAAAAATCAATTTTTTATTAATAAATGCTATGTCTGACTTTTGGGTGGTATTTTTTATTTCAAATCCAATAAATCAGATCTGAATTCAAATCTGAATCTGTCAGATTGAATTAAATCTGAATCTGAATCTGATCTGGATCTGACAGATTGAATCAAATTAAAATTCAGATCTGAATCTGATTTAAATCTGATAAATTCAATTTGATATGATGCGTCAAATCTGAATTAGATTCAGATTGAATCAAATTTTTTGCAGAATACTAATGATATATTTAATATATCTGGCAGATTTTGCATATTTTATATATTATTACTCAACTAATGATTAGGCAGACTGAAACACGTAATCAATTGAGTAGCAGCAAGATTTAGCTCAATCTTTATTAAGTTTT